AAAAAAGTATTTTCCCTTCCTCACTCTTTAAAATACTGGTATTAGCAAAACCTCTTTAAAACATTTGTTTTCTGCATGTCTTCTCCCATCTCTCTTGGTTACCAATGTGTGTCTACATAAGAACTTCCTTATGTCTCATCATCCTGCCCAAGTCACCACAAGCTAGCATTAACAGCAAAAGAATGGTTTCCAGGAGGAGGATGGATTGTGACATCAGTGAATGGATCAGGTAAGAGACACAAGATTATTTGTAAGGGTGAAAGCTATTTATACCCAAATACAGATTAAAAAAAGTATATTTTTAAAAACTTTACTGAGGCGTGGCAATGGATCTTTAGGGAAGAGAACCTTACAGAAGCTGAGCCCTCCTAGCCACATACCGATAACCCACTTGTGACTAGCATGACTAATCTGCTCTGAGGAGGGAACAGTAAGAGGGTCACAGTTCCCAAGGAAAGCCAGCTGTATTTTGGGGGTGGATTTGATTGATAGCTCTGGATTAGACTAGAGATATGGTTTTTTTCACCTCGAGGATACGGACCTCGTTCTAGCACAAAGCAACCAATTGAAATCAGATCAATGTGAAGGGAGTCACTTTTAAGCACAGTTCTAGTAGTCACAAGTGTTCAAGTCACTTCTCTGCCCCCACATGAAATCAATCACCATAAATTGCAGCCTTATTGGCAGACTCTGAGGCCAAAGACTGAACAGCCAATGGAAAGTGAACCACTTTCTTATTGTGTTTTAAGAGATGGTTGCCTCCAGGTCAAATTTATAACAAACTGGTGAGGCACCATGGTGGTGGGGGGGTGGTGGTCCACTGCTACCACCGACTGGAGCAGTGAGTTTGTTCTTGGGGTGGTTTTCACTTTACTATGCGGGCACTGCCCAAAAGCCTCAGAGTCAATGACCCAATGTGAAACTGAATAGGTGGTTGAATAAAAAAAGCCTTCCAAAGAAACAGGAGGCAGATCTATGGGTCTTCAAGGTTATAAGTTCAGAGGTTACCTGGGTAGAAATCTTTGTGGTCTAGCCAAGTCTTAAGTACAGTCCTCATACTTAGAGCTCCATTGCAAAACAAAATGATCAGATCTAGGTCACTTTGAACGTGGAGGACAACTTCCTTCATCTCCAGGAAGCAAATTAAAGCTTTTTCAATTACACACATTCGGTTAATTTGGAAATGTAAATCCTCTTTGCTTTTAGGAACAAGTTGGGATAGAAACCCGCTGAGATTTCCAGGTAATGTCCATACCAGAATATTATTCTGAAACTGGTCCTCCTCTGAGAATCTTATTGGGGTAGAGGGCCAAAGAGACTTGAAGATAAGGGCAAGGAAGCTTTCTAGAGCAGGGGTTCTCAAACTTCATTGCATCGTGACTCCCTTCTGACAACAAAAATTACTGCATGACCTGGGGGGGCCGGGTGGGGGTGGGGGCGGGAAGAAGAACTAAAGCCTGAGCCCACACAGGCCCCACCGTCGCCTAAGGGCTTCAGCCCCAAGCAGGGGGCCTGTAACCTGAGCCCCCACTGTCCAGGGCTGAACCCCTTGGGCTTCAGCTTTGGCCCCAGGCGGTGGGGCTCAGACTTCAGCTTCCACCCTAGGCCCCAGCAAGTCTAAGCCCCCAGCCCTGGTGACCCCATTAAAATGGCACTGTGACCCACTTTGGGGTCCCGAACCACAGTTTGAGAACCGCTGTTCTAGAGAAAAGTTCTTACAATCAGTATCCAGCACCCAAGAATCCAGGATGGTAGTGGGCTTCTAGAAATCCCAGAGTTAGAGAACACAAATTTGAAAGCCACAGAGAGATTACTGAAGCCAATATTACATTTTTGTTCTCAGTTTACCTAACTACTGTGGGAGAACCCAAAATATTTCTTCTGATACAGCCGTGATTAAAAGGCATTGCTACTCCAACACTTCTTAGGCAATAAGGAAGGGCCAGCGCCTCATCTTTTGCCCGAGGCTAAGGAGGCACCCTCCACTGCATAAACCAAGAATATTAAAGAAATAAATTGAGTACTTCTGCTGCACTTTGCATTTAAAACTGCTGTGCAAAAATATCACCTATCTGAGGAAGGTATGTATTATTTCCAATTTTAAGATGAAGAAATTAAGGAAGAGATTAAGCAATTTGGAGAAATCCACATAGTCTTAGTTCGGTCACTGATACCAAGTTGCATGCTCTCAACTGTAACTCATGCTGTGAGAGAAGTCACAGTACTTGAAATTAATGCACTTGTATTAATGAGTCTAGCATATTTTAAAGCCCTCAATAAATAAGCCTTCAGTATCTGGTACTAGCTTACCTTGAGTTTCTAGCAAGTTTTGCACTACTTCCTCCAAACCAACCAGGTAAATAAATTCGTTGTTGGCTGCACTTGGCAGGAAATTCATCTCTGGTGCAGGTGGTTTAGGAGGTGGGATCTCCAGGAGCGTCTTCTCCAGCTGCTTGCGCAGTGCAAGTTTGGCAGCAGCTTGCCGGCTGGCTGGGGACTCGTTGGAGTTCACTATAGAAGCAACACTGGTAGTAGTAGCAGCATTAGCCTGAGCCGATGTCACGGTTGTACCTTTTATTGAAGTAGGTGAGGCCTTAAAGAAAATACAAGCATGGTTACTAATCAGAATACAACTGTCTTGATAGTTTAATCCCTATAGCCCATTCTAATCTTGTCCTCTCTGAGATAACCAACAAGGAGGCCAACTAATATCAATTGTGATAGTAGACAAGTGTCCACATCACAAAAACTATTTGGAACTGGACTAAGCCATCTCTCACCAAAAAACTAATTTCATGTAGCCCACAGAATAGACATCAGGGTATGACTTGTGCCCTTGATATAAATGGGTCCCCTAGAGGTCCAATGCTAGGCATTCCATTCCCAGGCATCTAGTCCCTCTATCAAATACTTTTCCAGAGTTCTTAACTTTTGCTCATTCACCTTTTGTAATGCATTCTTAGAAGCTTGAAAAGGCCATTTACAGTACTTCCCCTTAATATTTTGTCCTTTTTGATTTGATAAATGCTGACTTTTCCCTGCATAAATTATGAATCATAAGTCAGTTTGCTTTTGTCTCCTTCACTGGTTCACTAACAGAAATGCGTGCATTTTGCGTTCTGCTTAAATAGCGGTTATTTTATTTAGGTGAGAAAATGCTTCCTTAGAAGAGAGAAGGGGGTAGGAGGAAGGAGACAAGAGAAACTAAAACGGATTCTGGGGAACATTTCCAACTAAACATGCCCAGTATAGGAGCGGAGGCCCAAAATTTGTCCACAATATTTATATTCCTTCCAAGTCTTGTTTGGTCGTACCCCAGAACGTTACATATTTCCTCGGTCTTCTCACAGACAATACAAAAAAGTCAATTCAAATTTACAGTGTCAAAAGTTAAATGCATTTTAAATTAACTAACTTAAATTAAGAGATTTTTATTGGGTATGAACAAATTCATATGGACTGCTCTTTTCCCTCATATGTGCATCCATTATCTAGAGCTTTTGCAAACGCTGAATAAAGATAAAGAACTGCCTGCAAGCAAAGAACAAAGAGCGGAGTAGTAACAGAAATAACCAGTTACATCAGTTAAGAGAGAAGACTGCAAACAAGAGTAATGAGATGTAGCAACTGGACAAATCAGTAACTGTATTTAGTCTCAAAAGAACAGAAGTGAATAGTGTTCTGTATCTTTTGGATCTCACCTGTGGTATATTGACAAGCAGGCTGGTATTGGGAACATTGGCAATGCGGATTAAACCCTGTTGTATAATTCTCTGTCCCTGAATCTGTACACTGGGGACGGATGCCCGTGGTGCCAGAAGCAGTGGAGGTGGCCCCGTGCTGGAGTGCTGTCGGATGTTGTGGATTTGCTGGGGAGAAACAGAGATGGGCTGATGCAATGGTTCCATGAAGGATGGGATGGAGAGTGTTAGAGAAGGTGGAAAACAGTGGGTGGGAGGTGGAGTAGGATGAAATGATGTGATGGAAATTATGCAAATCAGGGAACAAAACCAACCAAACAAACAAACAAAAAAAAAAAACACGCAACAACATTAACATCATTGTCAAAATCCGCAGCTTCATTTTGACTGTAGATGCATTCCAAGAGAAGCAACATAGAATGCAACATTAGAAAAGATGCTTGACTTCAAAACTTAAGCCAAAAATCTAACCATTTTGGCCTTGATAAACAATGGTCTGAAGTTAACAGGAGCTATACATGTTGGAAAGGAACTAATAGTCTGTTTAATATGAAGATTATTAGTGCAGCTATTCTACTTTAGAGTTAACAAGTTTTTGGCATATTAATCAGGACTGAAAGGAAACTAAATCCCATGTGCCATCCAGCAGGCACAGATGGTTTATTTAAAAAAAAGTAGTCCCCCAACTGCAAAATAAATCTCCACTGAGCTAGATAAATATTTCCCCGTATCACACAGTGATCACAGTATATTCAATAAGATCCACTGGAGGGAACTCTCTCCCCTCCCTACCTTGCTCCTTTGGTGCAACCACTACTTTCCCCTCATAGAAGACAAATGGACTTAAGAACAAGACACCTTCACAGCATTTTCAGTTCTCCAGTTTGCTACCTCATTCTAGCAGCCCATTAGTCAATTTGACAATGAAGGCATTGAGAGAGAGATTAAAACATACATCAGAGGTGAAATTGATAAAACAGGAAAACGAAGAAGAAAAATGTTTTTAAGAACCAAAACACACAGTAGAATTAAGTCTTCTACATTGTCCTGCTGGGTAAAGCTGGCCCAATGGTAGTGCTCTGCATCACCATACGAGACCTAGGTTAGTCCTCATCAGTTAGGAGTGAGAGAGTGCATTTAAATCAGCACAGATTGGAAGGATCTTGCATCACTCAACAGTAATGCATCCAGTCTATTAAGGAGAGGGTCCTACGAGAACCTCATCCAACCCTCTTGGGTAAGGGGAATGACGATCATGACTCAGAGCCTTGAAGTTGAAATGTAAAAGTGGAAAGAATTAGTGAGACAATTCCCTAAGCCCTGAGGGGAATGGAAAGAACACACCTGATGCAGTGAGGGAGATCTACAACCACACCAACTCTTACCTGGGCTCCTCTGACAAGAGGTGGCATTACTATCTGCGTATTCTGCTGAGATCCCAGTTTTGAAGATGCTTGTTGCCCTCCACGGACCAATGGAGGGGGAATAACAGTGCCTGGTATACGTGAAGAAGAGGTCTACAAAACAGAGGAGCATTTACTTTTAAAATTTATTTTTAGAAAACAGAACATGCTTATCTATATAGAGGTTTATATTTAGTTTCTCAGTTGTATTTGACTGTTGGTATGCCTATGTCATTTTCAAAGACTGCACTGCCACGCCTTCCTTGTGAATACCCAAAGAGACTTTCCTTTTCTTTCTACTTCCTCCCTCTCCTCTTTACTTGCCTTAAATCGGTCTGTCTATCTGCGGAGCTGTTCTTGGAATTGGTATTGAGGGAATGCTATAGGTGAGCCTCAGATCTTACACTGAATGTAAGGGCACAGAGGCTCATTATTCAAAACTGCTTCAGTGAGAAAAACAAAGATTTCAATTATAATGGGGTATCTATTCTAGGGTGGATAACTTCTTTTACTATATGAAATGCAGCTTTATACATCTGGGTATCTTCACTTAGAGAAGCCAAAAATTGGCCACTGTTCATGAGTTAAGGTTCTCACAAAAGCACTGGAGCGTCCCCTTTCACTATTTATAGTTAAGTAATACAACTTACTACTTTGAAGGGCATAGGGGAAGCTAATGTTCACTTGTATTGTGCTTTTCATTCAAGAATTTCAGAAATGCTTTACAAACATTAAATAAACTTCACAAAATCCAGGAATTACTGCAATTTTACAGTTAGGTAAACAGATACAGAGAGGTAAAGTAACTTGCCCAAAACTTGTATAGCAAGTAAGAGACAGAACAGCAACAGAACCCAGGAGTCCTGACTCCCATTTCCCCGCTCTGACCACTAGACTATATGCCTTCCACTACTGAAAAAGTTTCCACTCTGTTACTTGAAAATTTCATTTGTGGGGCAAGTTCCTCTTAAAGTGCTGTCTTTAGTGAGGGCAGCTGTCTCTGTGCAGTAGAGATAAAGAATCTGTCAACCTTTGAGTTGATCATTTTATTCTAGTGTCCTGAAACTTGCTTATGATGGTAGGATAGTTTCACAGCAAAATTAAGCAGCGTGCTCTTTGGCCAAAGGCCTTTTCAGTACCTCTTATGTACCAGTCAGGAAAGTGCATTTGGAATTTGACTAAAAATCAGCCACTGGAGGATAAGATTATAGGGGTTATCTTATTCTCCCCTACTCCGTCTTAAAAGCTTATTGTAACTGGATTCATGGGGGTTAGCGCCGGTTTAATCAATATAAAAAATTCTACTTGGAACCAAACTGTTTTTGTGACAACTAACCAGACTGTAGACATCCAGTCCTATGAAATAAAACTTGCAGGATGCTTTTTTGTGCTAGAACTGTTCATTACGTGAAAGTTGTACAGTGGCAGATAATGAATTTCCAACTTGGCTGGCATGTTTATTGAAATTAGAAGTGGGAGAGATGTCATCAACATATTACTACTTCTCCGCCCAGCAATATATGGAGCAACTTTGCTAGATCTATATTGAAGATTATCCCTCCTATTACTATGCACCTTCATCTCCCCTGCATGCCCCAAACCTGGCAACATATGAGGCCCCCATGCTAACCTGAAGGGATGGCTTGCCAGCAGGAACATTCTGTGTTCCCCGCACCAATGGGGGAGGGGTGGCCACAGCACTCCCAGAGGAACCAGGAGGCTACAAGAGAAAAACCAGAAAGACAGACCCATGAGAGGTTGTGAGCAGAATTGCAGCAATTAAGGAAAATAAAAATATTTGCCTCCTTATAACTCAATGAGAGATTATTGCAATATAGTGATTCTCTCTCTCTCTCACTCACACACAGTCTAACTGGCATGTTTAAAATCCACAAATTAGTATTCAAGTATAGATAAGAGATTCATTCATTCTTACTCTTATATAAATTATATACCTTTATGAAGGCATTAAAAGCAATTATGTAAATTACTAAACTGTTGCTTTATAATACATTTTAAAATGAGCTATTTAAAAATTAAATAGGTCTCAATATACAACCTAATTCAGTCCCCAATGCATGGACAAACTTCATTAATTGTTAAGGACTGTTACCCGAAAACTAATCGGGATATTAAGAAAGCATTCTAAAAGGTGTTGCTCCATTCTACTTAGTTAATTCAATATCCAAAGTTCACTTCATCAGTGTTCAGTAGCAGGATTATGTAATGCATGTACCCAACACATCTAATTGTTTTCAGTAACCAAAAACGTGAGTTTAAAAACAAAGGACTCCAAAAGAAAATTTCACAGAAAGTCAGGGAAATAAAACATTTCTCCTTACCTACCTCCAATGTGAACTGAAATGCTTTTAATATAAATATGTACAAAAACTGTTAAGATCCATAAAGTCAAACATTTTAAAGTAAAGTTAAACAGGAAAGGACTTTCAATTATTCATCTGCCAAGACTAGAATTCAGAATTTTGAGTTTCCCTTGCATGGGTTTATCAGTAACATCTAAAGCAGCGTAAGGGATACAGCACTTGACTACTGGTTCTGTGTGTTTGTGACTCTTAGATGTTAATACCTTTCAAAAGTCTTTCGGTGGTATTAATGCTGGAAAATATTCTATTAAGGATTCGGATTCTTTTTTTCTTTTTTTTTTAATGATTTTAAGTACACAATATTCACACAGAATTTTAAACTGTCAAAATGTCTTCAAACTAAAAAGCATAAAACTGATTAATGATGGACAGTTTTACAGTGTTTTATCAGGAAAACTAAAAACAGCGAAAACATGAAGATGAAGAGGACATGATGCACTTTGGAAGAGCCATATATTCAATAGCAAAGTTCTGGTAAACTATTGTATATAATTTTAAGAAGGGATATACTGCAAAGCTCTTACACTACAAATGCATATTCAAAGTCAGTGGAAAGGGTACCATCTTTGAAAAGGTTAATACAAAGATTCCATAAGATAACTTCTGTATTTAAAATGGGGAATACCACTGGAACTAGAATGAACTTTTAAAGTGCATTCTCTGTATATACTACCCATTTTGTAGAGAGGAAGAATAGATTTTAAAAGGCCTTTATACTTTTATTGTTGGACTGCCAGACTGGATTGTTTTGAGAAACAAGGAAATTCACTTAATGTTTGGAGAAAATGGCTTTTTCTGTTAAAAAGAGATATTCTGAAGTGTTACAGTACATTTTGATTTGAGGGGAAAAAAAAGAACAGGAGTACTTGTGGCACCTTAGAGACTAACAAATTTATTAGAGCATAAGCTTTCGTGGGCTACAGCCCACTTCTTCGGATAGTAGCCCACGAAAGCTTATGCTCTAATAAATTTGTTAGTCTCTAAAGGTGCCACAAGGTTCTTTTTGCGGATACAGACTAACACGGCTGCTACTCTGAAACCTTTGATTTGAGAGTTATACAGGGTACCACAAAATTATGGCATCAACCATGCTGGCAGCATTTAGAAACCAAAAACACCAGTTGTTAAGCGTCTGTGGGGAAATCAATACCTTCTGAGTAGTGGTCTCTTTCTGTATTTGACTCTGCCGCAGCTTTTTCAATAAAACAAGTTTTGCTTCTTCTAATCTTAACTCTTCTTTTAGCTGTTTAATCATTCTCTCGCGCTCCTCTGGGCTGCTCTTCTGTAAGGCCAGTTAAGATATTTGGGGGTGGGGTAGAAAGGAAAAAAAAGATAAAGTACAAGTAACAACAACCTGCAGCAGAATAACTCAGTGGGACTAACAGCATTCACCTGGAATGTATGGACATAAACACTAAGTGCTGAGAAAGAACTGAAATCAAAAGCAGGCTTTAAAATTCATCCTTTACTAAACTGGGAAAATTAACAGCTCATTTTGCTTTAAACAAAAAGTTTCTACTTCTGAAGAGGGAATACTGTGCTATTTTAAATACTGAATGGGTGGCTAACAAGTTTTCATATATTTCTCTGAAAAAGTATGGGGGCAGGGCAAGAGAGGATGTTAGGAGTAGAAACCCAAACAGACAGACTGACTTCAGCCCTTAATACAGCCTCAGCCCCAGGAGCTCAAACTGCATGAAGCTGATATATGAAAAAGGTGAAAACAGCTGCTGAATCTTACATCCTGTAGTCTCAACTGCAACTCAGAATAATTAGTGCCTGTTTCAATATTTCTAAGTAACAAAGCCTAGAGTGTATCAAAAAACGTGGACTCACCATGAGTGCCTCTGTGTTGGTCTCTCTTAATGCTATTTTTGTTAAACCATTCATTCTAGGGCTCGAAGGTTCATTGTCTGATAACACTATAATATCAGGCGAGGGGACTCTCTTTTCTCTCTTTAAATCACTGTAAATCAAAAGAAAGCAAGGCCATTTAACTTCTCCCCATAGCAAAGAATATTACTTTTTTTAAGCTGTTACTGACAGATTAACCCTGAATGCCTCACGTGTGAAGAAAGTGTTAAGTATCCAATGCAAGACCAGAGTTCACTCTCAAATTCCAATTTCCATCTGAAGATTGTACGCATAAGACAACAACCATGATTACTCGATAAATAGCCATAATGAGAGAAGGAACAGGCCTTAAATCAGTGGTTATCAAACTGGGTCGCAATCACAAATGCAGATCGCATCACCATCAGCAGATGGGGTCACGTGATCCCTAGCATGTGGCATATGCCATTTTGCTTCGCATGGCATGACCTTGCACGCATCATATGTAAGAGATCACAATGTGCGGAGGATGCCATTTTGTAGAGTTAATTGGTATCTTTCATGCAGCACAACCTCACACGTATGGGGTGTGCAAGGTCATGCTGGGCAGAGGATGCTATTTTGTTTTTCAAAACTGTATCCTCAATGCAGTCTGGGGTCCCAGCAGGAAATACTTCATTAAAATGGGGTTGTACCAGCAAAAAGTTTGGAAACCCCCTGCCTTAAATCCTTGGTGCCTCTGTTGAGACTGCCAAAAGACGTGCCAAACATGGTGGTAGTTTGTACAATGGGGATACCCTACCATTAGGAACTGTGTTGAGTCAGCAAATTCATTCACAAGGCAGACGGCAATGACTTCCAGTCACTGGTGACCAACACTGCAAGCAAACCAATGACCTAGAGGTGAAAGGGCCGATCTCCCAAGGCTAATCCGAAACCATCCCATTTGCTCACTGTCAAAAGCCTTTGAATGCCAAAAGGTTTAAAAACTCTTCAGCCTGTATGAGTATTCAATGACCAACATTTCATCAGGTTGCTTTCCTTATCCCTCCCCTACTACAAATGTTTCTAGATTATTATCCCCCACCCAAGTTACAATTTTATTTATCAGAGTCCTACTGAAGCAGGACTAAAGGTGCACTACACATACAAGTCACTGCAACACAGCATGTACAAGAAAAGCATTTGCATTTAAAGATTTTACAGCACAATATTCTATTAACACCACAAGTAGGTGCCCTATTACTTAGCAAGTTAAATGTCTCAGCAGCCTAAATGCCCATAAGCACGCCCAATTTATATCCAAACCTACAGGAACACTTTCTCCAGGTGCAGATACAATGTTATGCTTCGTTTCATCTCACCTTAACATTCCAAACAATGCCTCTAAGTGACAGAAGAGTCATTAGTTGTTTTGATGTGCTATATCTTAGCATGTGCTGGATTCAGAGACCTGAACTACCTTTTAACTCTAACATAGTCATACAAGAGTATTGTTATTTAATCACACCAGCCAAAAAGGACCGAGACAGATTACTGTGCAGCATAACGTAACAGCAGACTACAGTACCATTCTTTCCACTGCACTGTACAGCTTTCTGATTGGACAGACACTAACAGCCTATAAAACCTTCCTGGCTTGGGATGTCCAGCAAAGGCCATTTGCCAAGCGAATTAAGAACTTGAGCTGAAACGAGTCTTTAGTAAAATATAGCTGATCAGCAAGATTAACCCATTGGTGTTAGGATTAGGGATTTCAGATACCAAGTGTATAGTATCTCTCAGCAAGGGTGGCAGCAGATTTAATAGGTGGTCTTTTACTGAAAAAATAGCATAGCCTCCACCCATGCTGCCAAAAAAGACAGTTCCCTTTCTGTAACTGGTGTTCTTTGAAATGCGTTGCTCATGTCCATTCCACATTAGGCGTGTGCTCTCGCCACATGCACCAGTGCCGGAAGTTTTTCCCTCACCAGTATCCGTAGGGGAGCAGCTCTGGCGCCCACATAGTGCAGTATAAGGGGCGCTGCTGGCTCCCCCCGACCCTCAGTGGGGAAGGAGGGCGGGTCATGGAACGGACATGAGCAAAACATCTTGAAGAACACCAATTACGGACAGGTAATGGTCTTTTCTTCAAGTGCTTGCTCATGTCCATTCCACATTAGGTGACTCCCAGCAGCTCCCGTGGAGTTGGGTAGGAGTTCACGGCTGTGCAGATTGTAATACAGCTCTGCCGAACCCAGCGTGGTCTCTGGCTTGCTGATTGATGGCATAATGAGACGTAAACGTGTGGAGCTGGGTTAATGTACGGAAAGGCTTGGTATGCTCCAAGTAAAAAGCCAAGACTCTCCGGACATCCAGTGCGTGCAGATGCCTCTCCTCAGCAGTCTTCTGAGGCTTGGGACAGAACACAGGCAGGAACACGTCCTGGCTCATGTGGAAGGAAGATACCACCTTTGGCAGGAAAGCTGGGTGAGGCCGTAGCTGGACCTTGTCCTTATAATACACTGTAAGGCAGTTCTGAGGTCAAGGCCTTAATCTCAGACTACTCTCGCCGACGTCACCACCACCAGGAAAGCGACCTTTCAGGACAAGTAGGAAAGGGAGCAAGAGCCCAGCGGCTCGAAAGGCGGGCAAGTGAGCCTGGAGAGGACCAGGTTAAGGTTCCCACCGTGGGACAGGGGCCCAGCCCTGCGGGTAAAGCCTCTCGAGGCCCCGCAGGAACCTGACAGTCATGTCATGAGACAAGACTGTCTGATCTTGAATCTGCTGGTGGAACGCGGAGATGGCTGCAAGGTGCACTCTAATGGAAGAATGTACCAGACCCCAGGTCCTGAGTTGCGGTAAGTAGTCCAAGATGGACTGCACTGAAGAATGCGAGGGAGTGAACGGTGAATGAGTGGGTGAACGGTGGCGGGATGTCCCTCACGATGGGGAGCAGTACCGTTGAGGCGAGGGCGGACGGAAAGGTCCCAAAGGCGGGCTTACCCCAAGGTCTGGGCGGCACCGGGATCATCAGGATCTCCTGCGCAGCCTGGAGCACTTCAGGCGTCAACAGCATCTGAAGCTGATGAAGGCCCACCTCTGTCTGGGCTTCCAGGCAAGGAACGGGGTTGGCTGCATCGCTCGACATGAGCTGAAGCCCGACTTCCTGATGGGGCAGATGAGCCGCCCAGCGCGGGTCTGAGCTTGCCCCCAGCCCTGTCCTTCCCCTTGCGGGGAGTAGGAGACCGTCCCCTACCGGCCTTCCTCAACCTTTTGGCTGGGGCCATGGATTGGTGCCGGCTCGTGGACGGCGCTGGCGGGGCACTACGCACCAATGACACGGTGCTGGGTGCCGAGTTGGACCTTGGCTCTGAGACTGGAGTGAGCTGGACTCCATCAGGAGCACCTTGAGTCTGATCTCACGCTCTTTCTTGGTCCTAGGTTTGAATCTGCAAGTCCTTTAACATTTATCACTTATGTGCCCTTCACCAAGGCACCTGAGACAGCTACGATGCAGAACGCTCGTGGGCATGGGCTGTTTGCAGCAATTGCAGCGCTTAGAGCATGGGGACCGGGGCGCGCCCCATCCCCTGGCTAAGTCCCCAACGGGACTAAGAAAATGAACTACTGCTAAGGGTTAACTAACTATGTACACTAATTTGACAAGAGTTCTAGTTTGTACAAACAAAGCCTAAGCAACACTAGTAAGAGCAGCGAATGTTCCGTGCACCGTCACTGGTGGCAAGAAGGAACTGAGGGTGGGGGGAGCCGGCAGCATTCCTTATACTGTGCCATGCAGGCACCACTCCAGAGGGCGCCAGAACCACTCCCCTACGGATACTGCTAAGGGAAAAACTTCCAGCACCGGTACATGTGGCGAGCACACACCCCTAATGTGGAATGGACATGAGCAAGCACTTGAAGATGAACTTACATTGTTTATGGGATAAGTATAATCACTTTAGAAGAGTACATCTTAAGAAACTGTGTTACAAACCCAAACAAAAACTACAAGAATACAATGAAACCCTTTTCAATAAGTATCCTGTAAATGAAATAACTTTTCAATGCATTATTGATGACCAGATTAAACCTGCCAAATTAATTTTTGAGAGACAAACCAAAACAATTTTTAAAACAGTGAAGCCAAATGAAGCAAATATACAGGCATCCATTAAAAAAAAAGAAAAAGCCTCTTGTGCAGCAAGTTTATGCACTTAACTACCTTTAATCTGTACTTCAGGGTGAAAATTACCTTAATTTGCAACCTGGAAACATGGCAAGTTAGCCCTATGTTCTCTTAAAAATGGGGCAGTTTCTCCCCACCTTAAATTACAGCTTCTGGAGTTAACTGTAGTACCTTTTTTAACATACAGAACTTACTTGAAGAATCCAGGTACTTAAAATGTTTCTTTTTTGTTTCTATTGTTATTTAGTGATGTACCAGATGTAAAAGACACTAATACCCTCAAAACAGGAACAGATTAACCTCACAGTTGCAGAGTAGCAATATTCCTGTACCACTATTGAGAAGCTATGTACTAATGTAAACTACACACCCTCAGCAAAAGCCATGCCAGTTCAAACAAACAGTTTTCTGAAAACTAAAAGCTGGTTGCTATGAAAAGCAGTCTTTGGTATCTCAGCTATAGCCATATATTCAATACTGCATTTAATGCAGTTGTCCACCTGGGTAGAAAAGGAGCAGAAAATGAGTTTCAGTTTCCTCTAGGGGGCACAGTGAGCCAGTGAACCAATCTTTCAACTCTGAAGGGGTTTAAAAATAACCATCAGGGGCACAGGTGAAAGCTTTAAAGCCTGAGCTTTTCTCTGACTAAGGTAGACTAAATTGGTTGCCTTGACTAAAAAGACAGACAAGGAGAGAAAAATTAAGAGCGCTTGCCATCAAGAGACTCAAGTTAAAAAAGGCCTCCGTATAGACAAAGTCTAAAGTACATCATCTCAAGTAACAGCATTTGACTTTACCCATCCTAAGAAGTGTGGGGAAAAAAAAGTCACCTGAAAATGATTTTTAAAGAACACTTAACTAAGGCAATAATCTCATAATTTAGGTAATGTAACCTTGTGTTGATCTGGAAGAGTTGTAGAGTTTTTCATGTAGCTAAACCTAATCCAACATATTTCTATAAA